CAAATTAAAGGAAAGCAAGGGTCAGGTCAGCATCTTGATCTCACAAGGTAGAACTCAACGAAAAACAGACAAAAGGCACCAAACGATACTTTATTATGTTCAACATTAAAATTACAAAGATAATGTTATTAATATCTGTGCAATCAGTAAGACAGTGATAATTTTTATAAAGCAGAAGCTAGAAGAGATGCTGTTCTGTCACAATAAAAAAGTTAATTTCAAAAATAAATAAATAAATAAATAAATAAATAAATAATGGGCCGGCCCGGTGGCGCAGGTGGTTGAGTGTGCGCGCTCTGCTGCGGCGGCCCGGGGTTCGCTGGTTCAGATCCCAGGAGCGCACCGACGCACCGCTTGTCAGGCCATGCTGTGGCAGCGTCCCATATAAGGTAGAGGAGGATGGGCATGGATGTTAGCCCAGGGCCAGTCTTCCTCAGCAAAAAAGAGGAAGATTGGCATGGATGTTTGCTCAGGGCTGGTCTTCCTCACACACATACATACATACATGAATAAATCTGAGTTCATATACATACCAAAGACAAACACCTTATCAGTTAGTTACCTTCAGAGGCTGCTAGAGCATCAACTCTCTATCTTGAAAACTAGTAAAGGGAAAGAAATAAGCATTTAGCCTGCCCTTTCTATATCATCTTGATTTCAGGTTAACCAAATAACCCATGACAGAAAATGCAGAAGGAATGATAGAATATCACCATTTTGTAATCCCTAATGAAATCATGAAGCTAGGTTAACGACCATCAAGTGTGAAAGGCACATAAGGAGCTTTAGAACGCGTAAGTCAGACTGACAGCTCCTGAATCGACTAATCCATCTTAACATCACAAAGGGAGGCAACAAGTTATATATTCTTAGTAGTAAAAACAGTACCAGCTAAGAACTACTCTTGTCTCTTCCTCTCTTCCCTACTGAAAAAATAAAAAATTGAACCTAAATCTAACCAAGTTTCTAGATCTTTTGGAAAATTCAGTAGATGAACATATTAAATGACACCATTGGGATGCCATCAGTTAAATCTAGAACAAGAGAAATGCTATGGAACAAATGACTGTTTCTGTATGATCTCATTTATATGTGGAATCTTAAAAAAAAATATTCACAGCTACAGAGAACAGACTGGTGGCTGCCAGAGGTGGGGGATCAGGAGTGGGGGAAATGGGTGAAGGCGATAAAAAGGTAAAAACTTCAAGTTATAAGTTCTAGGATATAATGTACGGCATAGTGACTATAGTTAGCAATACTGTATTGTATATTTGAAAGTTGCTAAGAGAGTAGATCTTAAAAGTTTTCATCAGAAGAAAAAACATTTGTAACTATGTGAGGTGATTGATCTTAACTAAACTTGTGATCATTTCACAACATATACATATATCAAATCATTATGTTGTATACCTTGGACTAATACAATGTTGTATGTCAAGCATATCTCAATGAAACTGGAGAAAAAAGATTAAGAGATTTATCAACCAAATGCAGTGAGTAGATCTTCCTTGGGTTCTGATTCAAACAAACCAACTGTAACTTTTTTCCCTTTTTTGTAAGAATACCAGGGGGACATTGAGCATTGGCTGGGTATTTGATGATATTATGCAATTAAAACTTTCTTTTTAAGTGTATGTAATAATGATATTGTGGTTGTTTATAAAACAGGTATTTATGGATGCCAATGATATGATGTCCGGGATTTGCTTCAAAATAGTCTAGCTGGGAGAGAATAAAAAGTGGTATAATACAAAATTTGCCACATACTGACAACTGTTGAAGCCAGGTGATGGATACATGAGGCTCATTATACTAGTCTATTCTTATTCGTATGAAACTTTCCATAATAAAATGGTTTTAAAATGAAGGACTAAAAAGCTGATGGGATGGAGCTGGTTCACTTTGAATTTCCCTGTAGAATGATCTCGGCGAGACATTTGTTGGGGAACTCCAACTTTCCTGTTGGGCTGGACAGATTCTTCAGACACAAGTCTCCAATAACTTGACAGTGGCTGCCTGCACTCTGGGAGCTGAGGAGGAGGAGGCTGGGGAGTAGAGGTCGGGTACCTCTGCCTTCAGCATCCACTATGTACAGTCACTTAATCCTTCTATTTTCAGAATGGTACCCACCCTCAACTGTTATCCCCCACCCCAGTTCATAAATAATTCCAGATGGAAACATATAAATCAAACTTCTCACATTATAAATACAGATGAAAGGTACAACAAACAAGTTTTGGAAGGTAATCTAGAAGAGTATCTTCACAACCTTTTGTGTAGGTGAAGAAATACTAAACAGAACCAAAAAAGCACTAACCATAAAAGAAGGCTGTGAAATTGAACTACATTAAAGTTAAGAATTTGTTTATCAAGACACTATTAAGAGAATGGGAGCCTAAAACGGGAGAAGATCAAAGGATACATATCCAGAACTCTTTTTAAATCACTAAGAAAAAGCCAGACAACACAAGAGATAAAAAATAAGAAAAAGACATCACCACGCACTTCATAAGAGGACAAATATCCAATAAACATGTAAGATTTCAACCTCTTTAGTAATAAGGAAAATGCAAATTAAAACCACAATGATACAGTATTCTACACCTGTCAAACCAGCAAAATTTTAACAGACCACAACACCAAGTATTGATGAGGATGTGGAACAGTATAAACCCTCATGTGTTGCAGGTGGAAGTATAAAAAAAGCAGGCATTATCTAATGATGTTTGAGAGACTCAAATACTACGAGTCAGGAAAGTCACTTGAGTAAAACTCAAGAGAAGCTTGTGTGTACCAGAATATGTTCATACAGTATGGCTTTTACAGCCAAAATCTGGCAACAAACCAAATGTCCACCAGCAGTATAACAGATAAACAAATTGCAGTGTATTTATACACTGGAAAACTACACAGTAACCGGCCCATATAGAAAAAGGAAATCAGAGGGCTCAAGGGAGATATCTTCAAAAGGAGGAAAAAAGGGAACAATAAAAGACAGATAGATTACCTGATGTATTTGAGCAAACAAAATAACTCCTGAAAAACCCCAAGTTTTTCAAGAAATGTAATTCTTGTGTAGCACATAGCTCATTTGAGAATATTTTCAAAATAACATAATAACGTAAACACTGAATATTGATAAACTACCCCTGTACCACTCTCTGGAAGAAAATCAGCAAAGAGAATAAAAGAGATTAAAGAAAACTCAACCTGAAACATGGCAGGAAAGGAAAAAAAACCAAAGTATGGTAAACACAAAGCACAAAAAAGTTGGCAGACATAAATGCAATAGAACTGTAACGACGAAGAGTAAAATACATCAGAAATGACAATAAATGTAAACAAAGTGGACTAAAGGGGTTACTAGATTGGATTAAAAAACAAAATTCAGTGGCTAGCCCAGTGGCCTAGTGGTTAAGTTCACACACTCCACTTTGGTGGCCCAAGGTCTGCAGGTTCAGATCCTGGGTGCGGACCAACACACGGCTTATCAAGCCATGATGCGGCAGCCTCCCATATAAAGTAGCACGGATGCTAGCCCAGGGCCAATCTTCCTCAGCAAAAAGAGGAGGATTAGCATCGGATGTTAGCTTAGGGCTAATCTTCCTCACACACACACACACAAAAACAACCAAAAAACAAAATTCAGTGATATAATACATGTAAGAGAAATACCTGAAACATAAAGACACATTAAGACTGAAAGAGATGATAAAAAATAAACCTAGTTCAATTCTGTCAAAGCAAAATGTATTTGAGTCCTTAGCTTTCAAAATTTAGCTAGGAATTCCTTTAATTATTTCCGTTTTTAAAAGGAAACTCATTTCTGATCATATTTTTTCTCTAAGAAGGGCTTACATAATTTTCTTCCCCAAAGTTGGATTACTAATGTATTAAAATGTGTTAATTCTAATAGATATTGCCAAATTATCATTCACACTCTTAACACCTGAGAATGCCCAGCTTATCTTAGTGAGTACTATTATTTTACTATTTTTTACCAGTCCCTTTGATAAAGGGAAATGATTTTCTTATTTTAATTTTGCATTTCTCCAGCTATAAATGTAGTTGAGCATATTTCCTTTTGATTCACTATACAGATTTCCTACTTTGTGAATTATCTGTTCATATCTTTTGTCCATTTTTCTATTGAGTTGTCTTTTTCTTATTAATATTAATTTTTCAATTTACATTGCAAATTATTTTTCTTCTCACTGCCTTAGGCAAAAACCTCCAAAACAATGTTGAATATCTGTGACACTGGGCATTCCTAGCTACTTACTGGAATTAGCTCTAATATTTCTCTGATTACAAAAATCAGCAGGAGACATTATACAGTCTTTATCATATTTAAGTAGTTTTATTCTATTCCTATTTTACCTTGAGTATTTCATTAGGAATGGCTGTTCCACTATCAAATATTCTTTTTCTTCATGTTAATTAATTGCACTGTTAAGTTCTTCAGTGCTAAGATGTTTATCATTAAAATATACAGATATTTTCTGATGAGGGTAGAGAAACAATGTATTTACCATTTGCAAAATTAATTTTTAAAATTGGCTCCTCCTAAACAAACAGGCAACAAAATTTACAAACAAGTTTACTAGTAACTTATTTTAAAATAAGTAATTAAATAAATCAAAAGATAAAGTAACATCACTGTATTTATTATTTTTTTATAAAATGCATTTGCAGAAATGTTTCCTCAGAAACTGGTACTACAAAAATAAATATAAAACAAATATACATGCTTACATATGTTACTTATAACATAAATATACATTATTTACATGTTCAAAAATTCAAAATGTCCAGCGTGTTTTGTCCATGATTCTCAACATGTCTGAGAAGGAAGGAAAACAATAAAAGCACAAACAAACCACACACCATTTATATTTTTGCTTTTAAAAGATTGTTCAATACAAATATATGAACACAATAAGTTTGGGGGTATAAGTTCTAAGAGCAAAAATAGGTGTCCCATTTTAATCTACGACCACTACATTTTATAAGTGACTCACGTGTCATTCTGCTTTGTTCTCTCATTAAAATACATCCATTATGGTACAGATTAAAATTCTCTTTTATAGAAAGGCTTTCTGAAGAAGTTATAGTAAATAAAAAAAAGTCACTTTACTTGAAAGCCAACAAAAAAGTTATTTATTAAACTTATATATCTAAAAGGAGCTTTAATCAATGAAAACTAGGAGTTGGATTAGAAAACATCAAAAGGATGGAAGAAAGACACTGTAATTTCTGTTTGATGTATTCTGGTAATTTTTCGTTTTCTCCATACCTA